ACTTTGGGTCCTTTTTCGATGCTCAAAAGTGCTGCTGTGTAGTGTCCAGGGTTTAGGGTTTAGGGTTTAGGGTTTAGGGTTTAGGGTTTGCGGGCAGGCGAGCAAGGCCATAGCGGACATTGTGCGAACCACTTTGGGTCCTTCTTCGATGCTCAAAATGCTGCTGTGTAGTGTCCAGGGTTTAGGGTTTACGGTTTAGGGTTTAAGGTTTATGGTTTAGGGTTTAGGGTTTGCGGGCAGGCGAGCAAGGCCATAGCGGACATTGTGCGAACCACTTTGGGTCCTTTTTCGATGCTCAAAGTGCTGCTGTGTAGTGTCCAGGGTTTAGGGTTTAGGGTTTAGGGTTTAGGGTTTAGGGTTTGCGGGCAGGCGAGCAAGGCCATAGCGGACATTGTGCGAACCACTTTGGGTCCTTCTTCGATGCTCAAAATGCTGCTGTGTAGTGTCCAGGGTTTAGGGTTTAGGGTTTAGGGTTTAGGGTTTAGAGTTTAGGGTTTAGGGTTTGCGGGCAGGCGAGCAAGGCCATAGCGGACATTGTGCGAACCACTTTGGGTCCTTCTTCGATGCTCAAAGTGCTGCTGTGTAGTGTCCAGGGTTTAGGGTTTAGGGTTTAGGGTTTAGGGTTTAGGGTTTAGGGTTTAGGGTTTGCGGGCAGGCGAGCAAGGCCATAGCGGACATTGTGCGAACCACTTTGGGTCCTTTTTCGATGCTCAAAGTGCTGCTGTGTAGTGTCCAGGGTTTAGGGTTTAGGGTTTAGGGTTTAGGGTTTAGGGTTTAGGGTTTAGGGTTTGCGGGCAGGCGAGCAAGGCCATAGCGGACATTGTGCGAACCACTTTGGGTCCTTCTTCGATGCTCAAAATGCTGCTGTGTAGTGTCCAGGGTTTAGGGTTTAGGGTTTAGGGTTTAGGGTTTAGGGTTTAGGGTTTGCGGGCAGGCGAGCAAGGCCATAGCGGACATTGTGCGAACCACTTTGGGTCCTTTTTCGATGCTGAAAGTGCTGCTGTGTAGTGTCCAGGGTTTAGGGTTTAGGGTTTAGGGTTTAGGGTTTAGGGTTTGCGGGCAGGCGAGCAAGGCCATAGCGGACATTGTGCGAACCACTTTGGGTCCTTCTTCGATGCTCAAAATGCTGCTGTGTAGTGTCCAGGGTTTAGGGTTTAGGGTTTAGGGTTTAGGGTTTAGGGTTTAGGGTTTAGGGTTTGCGGGCAGGCGAGCAAGGCCATAGCGGACATTGTGCGAACCACTTTGGGTCCTTTTTCGATGCTGAAAGTGCTGCTGTGTAGTGTCCAGGGTTTAGGGTTTAGGGTTTAGGGTTTAGGGTTTAGGGTTTGCGGGCAGGCGAGCAAGGCCATAGCGGACATTGTGCGAACCACTTTGGGTCCTTCTTCGATGCTCAAAATGCTGCTGTGTAGTGTCCAGGGTTTAGGGTTTAGGGTTTAGGGTTTAGGGTTTATGGTTTAGGGTTTGCGGGCAGGCGAGCAAGGCTTTGCGGGCAGGCGAGCAAGGCCATAGCGGACATTGTGCGAACCACTTTGGGTCCTTCTTCGATGCTCAAAATGCTGCTGTGTAGTGTCCAGGGTTTAGGGTTTAGGGTTTAGGGTTTAGGGTTTAGGGTTTAGGGTTTGCGGGCAGGCGAGCAAGGCCATAGCGGACATTGTGCGAACCACTTTGGGTCCTTCTTCGATGCTCAAAATGCTGCTGGACCCTCTTGGCGGAATTGTCATAACAAATGACGGAAATGCAATTTTGAGAGAAGTGGGTTTATTTGGTTAATTTGATTCAATATAATTAATTTAATCAGTTCAATTTAATTGAATTTAATTTGATTTGATTTAAATTAATCTAATTGATTTTGTCTTTTATAAGCAACGTTTATTTAGTATTTATTTTTATTTTTTATTTTTTCAAGTTTTGTTTTTGTTATTTTTTTGCCTGTTTGGGGCTTTCTTGGTCACGTGTCTTTTTAAAACTTTCTTTTTGGGTTTTTGTTTATTTTGAAATTTTCTTTTTAAAGTTTTATTTCTTCCAAGTCTTTGTTTTTGTATTTTACTTTCTCAAAAACTTTCTTTTTGTCTTTTATTTTAGTGGACTTTCTATTTTTATTCGTTTGAAAACTTTCTCTTTTATTTCTTCTTTTGTTGCTCGCTCTTTTGGGGCCTCTCTCCTTTTTGTTTGTTATTTGCTCTGGTTTTAAATTATCGCCCTCGCTGCTGCTGCTGCTCTAGTGCTGCTGCTGCTGCGGCTGCGGCTGTCGCTGCTGCTGCTGCTAGTGCTGCTGCGGCTGTCGCTGCTGCCGCTGCTGCTGCTGCTGCTGCACCTCTGGAGCCGCTGCTGCATCGCTCCCCCTGCTGCAAGTGCAGCTGCCTCTCTCCCCCATCCTCCCACCCTCCCAGCTGCCGCTGCTGCTGCTGCTGCCGCTGCTGCTGCTGCTGCTGCTGCTGCTGGCAGGTGGACGTGGCGCACCCCGCGGCGAAGTCGATGATAGAGTTGTCGCGCTCCCAAGACGAAGAGACGGGGGACGGAAGCACTTCCGTGGTGGTGCTTGCGGGGGAGCTGCTGCAGTGCTCCGTGCTGCTGCTGGAGCAGCAGCAGCTGCACCCCGCAGTGATCGCCCAGGGCTTTCTGGGGGCCCTCGAAGACGCGCTGGGGCACCTGCGGGGCCTCGCGCGGTGTATAGACACCTCGCAAAACGCCACACTCGCGCCGCTCCTCGACTCCTGCCTCGCCACCAAGTTTGCCTCCCGGTGGAACGGCCTTTTGACCCAAATAGCTCTCCAGGCTGTCCGCAAAATCGCCAGAAAACTTCCTTCTGGAAAACTCGACATCGACATCAAGCAAGTCCCACTTCCGCCGCTTCCTGAGGCTCTTTTCTGCACTCTTCGAGCCCCAAAAGCCCCAACAAAAACGAGAAACAGGGGCCCTAGGGGCCCCTCAGGGGGCCCCTCAGGCGCCCTTTTAGGGGGCCTCTTAGGGGCCCCTCAGGGGGCCCCTCAGGGGTCCCCATAGGGGCCCTTCAGGGGGGCCCTCAGGGCGCCTTTCTTTGTGTGTTGAAGTTTATTTTGCCGTGCATGCGTTTAAATAAACCCAAGTGCAAATTTAGTTTCATTTAGTTCTATTAATATATATATTCAAACCATTTGTATTTAACTGCAACTAATTCGAATGTGAAGAACCCGCCTTTGAGTCTTTGCATGTCTTTTAATTCCTCTTTTATTTTTTTGCCTTTCATCTTTTTATCTTTTTATCTTTTCATCTTTTTGTTTTTTGGGATTTTAGGCGCTACGCAAAAGTGGAGAAAATCCCCGGAGGAGATATTGAAGAAAGTCAAATGTTGGAAGGAATAATGTTGAACAAAGATGTCACTCATCCCAAGATGAGGCGGCGCATAGAGAATCCAGTAGTGGGTTTTTTGTTTTTCTTTTATTTCATTTTCTTTTTTAAAGTCCCTTTTCGACTTTCCTTTTTTTCCTCTTTTGCCCCTTTTCTTCGTTTCTTTTTGATGCCGTTCGCGCATTTGCCAGCCTCCACTGCTTCTCAAACCGGCGCAGTCACAGCTAACTGCTGCAGCAGCAGCAGCAGCAGCAGCTTCTGCAGCGGCAGCAGCAGCAGCAGGTTCTGCAGCAGCAGCAGCAGCAGCAGCAGCAGGTTCTGCAGCAGCGGCAGCAGCAGCAGCAGGTTCTGCTGCAGCAGCAGCAGCAGCAGCAGGTTCTGCTGCTGCCGGTGCATGCACCTGCACTGGTTCGCGTGCCCGTCTGCACGCACCTGCGTGCAGCTGCATGCATGCAGGCGCGTGGCTGCATGCACGCGGGCGCGCGCATGCACGCGCATGCACGCGCATGCATGCGTTCGCGCTGCGTGCATGCACGCGCAGGTGCTGCTGCTGGACTGCCCGCTGGAGTACAAGAAGGGGGAGAGCCAGGCAAGCGTGGAGGTGACGCGCGAGTCGGAGTGGCGCGAGCTGCTGGAGCAAGAAGAGGCGGAAGTGGCTGCGATGTGTCGCTGCGTGGTGGAGAGCGGGGCCAACTTGGTCTTCACCGAAAAAGGGGTTTCGGACTTGGCGCAGCACTTCCTCGCCAAGGCCGGCGTCGCTGTTGTCCGCAGAGTCCGCAAGACTGACAACAACCGCATCAGCAGAGCCACCGGCGCCACTGTGGTTTCCAGGCCGGAGGAGATTCTCAAGTCCGACCTCGGCACGCGCTGCGGCCTCTTCGAAGTCCGAAAAATCGGTGGGCCGTGCATGCGGACGCGCATGCAGCCACGCATGCAGCCGCGCATGCAGACTCGCATGCGGGGGCGCATGCAGGGTGGGCCGCGGGCGTGCAGGGGTGCATGCGTGCGTGCATGGGGCGGCTTTTGGGCTGCAAAGCACCTGCAGCGGCTGCCGCTGGGCGTGTCTGCATGCGTGCATGCCTGCATGCATGCATGCGTTTGCGTGCTAGTTCCGCTTTGGGGCTTTCGCCGCTGCAGGAGATGAGTACTTCACCTTTTTGCTGGAGTGCAAGGAGGGCACTGCATGCACTATTGTTTTGAGGGGAGGCAGCAAGGACGTGCTCAACGAAGTGGAGCGGTAAGTGTACATACACCCCACTGCATGCATGCATGCATGCATGCATACTCTGGCTGCGAGATGCATGCATGCATGCATGCATGCTGTGGCTGCGAGTGTCTGGGTGCATCGGAACAAGGCAAATAGAACAACAATCCTTCTACCGTTTTGTCCAATTGGTCCTTTATTGGGGTCTCTTTGGCTTCAGATCTTCATTCTTTTTTCTCCTTCTGCAGCTTCCAGTGGGCCCTGCCGTGCATGCGTTTTGGGGCTTTTTTGCATGCGCTCAGCAACCTCCAAGACGCCCTTAGTGTCGCCCGCAATATTCTCCTCGATGGCAAACTTCTGCCAGGTGGAGGCGCCACAGAAATGGCCGTGGCTGCTAGGCTCCTCGATAAAGCCAAAAGTCCGTAACTCGCTGCATGCATGCATAGTTGCATGCATGCGCAGTTGCATGCATACTTGCATCCATGCATGCATTCTTGCATGCAGGTGTGCATGCGTGCATTTGCATGCATGCATTTGGGTCGGTAGATAGATGCAGAAATTAAGATAGAAAAGTACAAGCGAGAAAAAGCATGCATTTGCGTATGCGGCGCAAACAGGGGCTTGTACTGCGACTTTTTGCATGCATGCTGCATGCATGCATGCATGCAAGCATGCATGCAGCATTTGTTATTCGTTTTTGCTGAATTCTTTTTATTATTTTTGTTTCTTTTTACTATTTTCTGCGGACTTTTTTTATTGTTTCAGGCCTGGACTCCCTTCACCAATATTCTTACAGGGCAGTGGCCTCCGCCCTCGAAGTCATTCCAAGAACACTTGCCCAAAACTGCGGCGCAAACGTTGGTATGCAGACCCACAGCAAATGTATGCGTGCATGCACGCATGCATGCATGCATGCATGCATGCGTGCGTGTGCATGCATGCATGCAAGCGTGCATGCGTTTGCATGCACGCATGCGTAGAGAGGCGTTGAGGCTTTTTCAGTAAAAGACAAGACACCGAATGCAGAACTCTTCATCTGCGTGCACGAGACTGCATGCATGCGTGCACGCATGCATGCACGCAGTCCCCTGCATGCATGCGTGCATGCATGCATGCATCCATGCACGGAGGCTGGGTGTTGGGGCTTTGGGCGTTTGCAGTGAAGGTGATGACGGACTTGCGGGCGAGCCACAGCCGGCTGGACAGCCCCGAAGCTGCATGCATTGGAGTGGATGGAGAAACTGGCGAAGTTTGCGATATGAGCAAAAAGATGGTTTGGGACTGTTTGTCCGTCAAGGAACAAGTCTTCAAGTCCGCCATCGAAGCGGTGGGGCCCCACACTCGCCCACAGAAAAACGCGCATAAATGCATGCATGCATGCATGCGTGCATGCATGCATGCATGCATGCATGCTTGTGTCGAGTCAAAGGGAGGTCCAGTTTGTTTTCGTTTCAAGTCTTTTTTAAATCGAACCTTAGCCTGGAGTGCAACTTGCTGCTTCTGCTGCTGCTGCTGCTGCTGCTGCGTGCAGGCTGCGGTGCTGCTGCGCATCGACGATGTGCTCTCGGGGGTTAGAAAAGATGGGAAAGGAGGGGCCCCAGGAGAAGACGGGGCCCCAGAAGACATGGAGACCTTTGGGGATGCTCGTGACGGGTAAGCTGCGAAAGCAGCAGCAGCAGCTGCTGCAGCTGCTGCTGCTGCTGCTGCAGCAGCAGCGGAAGGAGCAGCAGCTGCTGCAGGAGCGGCAGGAAGAGCTGCAGCAGAAGCTGCAGCAGCTGCTGCAGCGGCAGGGAGGGCTTCAGCAGCTGCTGCAGCAGCAGCGGCAGCGGCCTAAGATGCTGCAGCAGCTGCAGCAGCAGCAGCAGCAGCAGCAAATGCTGCAGCAGCGCTGCAGGGCATTTGCCACTTGTCCTTTACCCTGTTCATGCGCCGATGGCAGAAAGTGAAAAGACATTCTTTCTGCCCCCGCAGCAAACAAAAACCGAAAATTAATCCATTTTGATTTTGCGCAGCCCCACTCCCACCTATTGCATGCATGCATGCATTCAGTAGAGTGCATGCATGCATGCAAGCGGCTGCTGCTGCATGCGTTCTTTTGAACTTTGGCGGAAAATTAAAAGGGTGCCGCTGCCTGGCGCTGGCGCTTGCATGCATGCATGCATGCAGACTTGCATATATGCATATATGCAGACTTGCATGCATGCATGCGTGCATGCATGTGGACTCGCATGCATGCACATATGCATGCATGCAGACTTGCATGCATGCATGCATGCATGCATGCATGCATGCCTGCACGCATGCAAGCACCTCTAGGCGTCTAAATAGGGGACTTTGCGTCTGTAGTTGGTAGTCCAAGTCTAAATGATTAGTGACTAAAAGCAAATAACTCGAGAAGCAAATAAATAAATAAATTACTGAATAAGTAAACGGATAAAGAAATGAATTAATAGCAGAAGTAGACAATAAGTGATAAAGACAAAAAAGCTGCAGCAGGCGCAGCCACGGGCCCCAGAAGAAAACAGCCCCATTGAGATGCATCTTCAGTTCTTCAGTTTGCTGCTACCTGCAGCGCCTACACACCTGCAGCAAAAGCTGCTGCTGCTGCTGTTGCTGCTGCTGCAGCTGCTGTTGCTGCTGGAGCTGGTGTTGTTGCTGCAGCTACTGCTGCTGCTGCGCCCGCTGGGCGCAGCCGGGAACCTGCACGTGTCGCTAGTCTACCTGTTCCCCACTGCCGTTGCTGCTGCTGCTGCTGCTGCTGCTGCTGCTGCTGCTGCTATGATGAAGAAGGCGCAGCAGCTAGCAGCAACGAAATGTCCTCTGCAGATATTTCGTTGAGGCAGCTGGAAGGCTTTAAATGCAACTTTTGAATTGCAAAGTTATAAAGGGCTCCACTCAAAACTGACAAGCCTTTCGACAGAGGGTGCACGAACACCCCACCACCACTGCTGCTGTTGCTGCTGCTGCTGCTGCTGCTGCTGCTGCTGGGACCTGCTGCTTCCTCTTCTTCCCGTCCCAGGAACGCAATGTGGGGGAGATACTGAGACGCAACAGTCAGCAAAGGCGGCGCAGCAGCTGCTGCTGCCGCTGCTGCTGCTGCTGCAGCTGCAAGCACCTAAACCCTACACCTTAAGCCCTAGACCCTGAACCCTAAACCTTAAACCCTAGGCCCAAACTCTAGACCCTAAACCCTAAACCCTAAACCCTAAACCCTAAACCCTAAACCCTAGGCCTTCTTGCTCACTAGGAAGCCAAAATAAACTCCATCATGTCCGTGTTTGTCTAGAAGGTCCCTGACGGGCATATTGAAGGGCAGCCTCTCCAGCAGCACTTCTTGAGGGTTTTGAATGGCTCTATCATTTTCATTTTCATTTTCTTTTTCTTCTTCTTCCATTTCTTCTGCAGCTTCTCCACTTTCTTTTTCTCCCGCATTGTCTCCTTTTCCTGCTGCTTCTTCTCCCCCTTTTGCCCCCTTTCGTCTCATCTCTTTTCCCCATCTTCTCTCTTTTTCTGTACCCTTTTGGGTCTTTGCTGCTGCTCGGGGGGCCCCCCTCCACTCCCCCAGGGGGCCCCCCGCCTTCCCCGGCCTCACTGCGGAGCTTTTGTCGTCTCTGGCAAATTCAGAAATGACATAAAGTCCCAAAGCCTGCTCCGTGAGGCCCACGGGGAGAGATATAGTTGCTGCTGCTGCTGCTGCTGCTGCTGCTGGCGGTGCTGCCGCTGTTGCTGCTGCTCGTGGCGGTGCTGCTGCTGCTGCTGCTGCTGTCGAGCCAACTGCGGGGGCTGGGAGGGCCTCCGCCGCTGCTGCGGCTTCGGCTGGGGGTGATTCTGGCGCTGCTGCTGCTGTTGCTGTAGCGGAGAGCTCTGCTGCTGCTGCTGCAGCTGCTGTTGCAGCTGGAGATTCTGCTGCTGCTGCTGTTGCTGTTGCAGCTGGAGGCTCTGCTGCTGCTGCTGCTGCTGTTGCAGCTGGAAGCTCTGCTGCTGCTGCTGCTGCTGTTGCAGCTGGCGGCTCTGCTGCTGCTGCTGCCGGCGCTGCTGTTTCATCTGCCGCTGCAGCGGGCGGTGCGGACTCAGCAGCAG